ATAAAACTATAGAATTAATTCATCTGGTATTTTTGAGAAGCAAAAAATAAAATGTTATAGTCTTTTTCTTCCATAATTTATTTACATACCACTAACATGAAGTAGATCCTAGATACCATTACCTTTGTAATCAAAGAGAAGATATTTTAGTGACAGTCTTTACCAGATAAGCTTAGGAGTACATATCCTACTGTAATGAAAAGAACACTGGATTTTGACTCATAAATGTCTGGGATTGAGTCCTGGCCTTGTCACTTTTATATGTGACCTTAGACAATTTAATTAGTTTCCTCATCTATAAAATGGGAAGAATAATAATAGCAGTATTACCTGTTATAGAGAGTTGTTGAGGAAGGAAAGTGCTTTGTAAGCTTTAAAGCACTATAAAAATGTGAGTTGTTACTATGCCTGAACAACCAAAAAGGCTGACTAGTACCATATTAAAAATATTAGATACTAATGTGAAATGTGAAATAATGCATGGACTGAAACTAATTCATAGTAAACTGCTATTTTTTTCAGTTAAAAATATAAATGATACTAGAACCTTTCCTGTTTGGGGATAGAAAAGATTCACAGATTTGCCCTGATCATCTGTGTTGGTCTTTAGCTATCTCTTCAGAAAAACTGAAGCTGTGTGTTCAGAGTTGTTTGTCTTCCATACATGCCCAAGAAAACCATGCCTTTTAAGACCTGTCAAGAGCCAACATTGTTTTGTTGGATTTAGGAAAATTCTTTATTTCTTTTTACCATGGCCAAATTTCTTCATAAAGAAAATTTGTTTCCAGATGATTTGTTAATTTTTCTGTTCTCTAATAGTTACAGAAATGTTCATAGAAGAATTTGTTGTCACAACAAAATGTTTCCCTTCTTGAAGGTCATGCTAATCAAAACTAAAGCCACAAAATAAGCTATTTGTCAAGGGCCAATATTCAGGTCAGAACCAACATTACCATTTTACTCATCTTGATACATGGATCCAGTACCTTTATACTTGAGTTTTTATTTAAATTTGCAAACTTCCTTACTGAATTTTTTATCTGTTGTGCTAAGGAAAAAATAGAACAATAGATGTAGTCCACATTCTTTATCTCACTCTTCTGACACAGCAATTTGTGATAAGAGAAAGGCTATCACACCATTTGTTACCTTCACTAGGTTGGTCTTACAAAGATTCTTTTTGTTCATTGTGTAGGCCTGCTCTGGAACTGACAAGCAGCAGTCTCTACCTTCTAAAATTTCATGTGTCCTTGTTTTAAAAGGAAAATAGTTACATTCATAGACTATTCCTGAACAACCAAAAAGACTGGCTAGTACCATATTGAAAATATTAGATACTAATATGAAATGTGAAATAATGCATGGACTGAAACTAATTCATAGTAAACTGCTATTTTTTTCAGTTAAAAATATAAATGATACTAGAACCTTTCCTGTTTTGGGTCAGAACCAACATTACCATTTTACTCATCTTGATACATGGATCCATGTATCATGGAGATGTAAGGGGGGAAACTTTAGAGATCATCTAGTCCAACCCCACATTTTACAGTTAAAGGGACTGGTGTGCAGAAGTAATTTGTCCAGACTCCACAGCTGCATAGTAGCAGAGTTAGAATTCAAACAAACCTAGGTTTGTAACTTAACAGTTACTTTGACTCTAAATTCAATGCGTTTTCTCATAGTTCATTGAATCATAGTTTGGCTTTGTTCATAGAATCTTTAAGTATTAGGAGTTGGAAAGGACCTTATAGATCATCTGTTTTAACTCCTACATTTTACAGATAAGGAAACAGAGATACTGAGAGATTGTGATTTGCCTAAAGTAGCACTAGTTCATAAGTGGCAGTTAGACTTTGTACCTGGGTCTTCTGATTCCAAGACCAGAGCTCTTTCTACTATACCTCACTAGTTACTTCATAGTTCAAAATTTAAATATATCTAGTAATTATAATTCTAGTACTGGCTTGCCAGTTGGCCTGCCGTTCCTGGAATCTTGGACACCTACAAAGTAGGATGGGATTTCACCAAGAGTGTGGATGGAGAGGAGGGATGAGGAGCTGAAAATAATATTGGAAGATGCTTATATTGAATTTTATGATACATGAGTCCTGTCTTTATCTCCTCCTACCCCCCCCACACTTACAATTACTTGCACTTTCCACTCCTCCTGAGATTACTTTATATATTTTTTATTTTCCTGTGTGCATATTGTTTCTCCCCAATAGAACATAAGCTTATTGAGAGCACATAGCATTTTGTTTTTATCTCTGCATCCTTAGCACTTGGTATATAATAGCAGGCATTGACTGTTAGAGGTTAGAAATGCTTAGATTCTTTAAAGTAAAATTTTCAAATTGAAAGACTTTTTAGAAATGTTTTTGGAGAAAAATTATCTTTTTATTGTTTGTCATCCTTTTATTTTATTTTTTTATTAATTTATTTTGATTTATCAACAATTACTTCCATAAGCTTTTAAGTTTTACATTTTTCTCCCTCTCCTTCCCACCTCCCTCCCCAAGATGGGGTGCAATCTGATATAGGCTATACATATACATTCCTATTAAACATATTTTCACATTAGTGATGTTGTAAGGAAGAATTAGAACCAATAGGAGGAACCACAAGAGAAAAAAGAAACAAAACAAAACAGAAGGAAAAAAAAGAGCAAATAGTATGCTTTGATGTGCATTGAGACTCCATAGTTCTTTCTTTGGATGTGGATAACATTTTCCATCATGAGAGCTTTGGAGATGTCTTAGATCTCCATTGCTGAGAAGGGCTAAGACTGTCAACGTTAGTCATTACACAGCACAGCTGTTAGTGTGTATAACATTCTCCTGGTTCTGCTAACGTCACTCAGCTTGAGTCTTTCTCAGCATGCAAGTCTTTCCAGGTTTTTCTGAAGTCAGCCTGCTCATCATTTTTTATAGAACAATAGTATTCCATTACATTCATATACCACAACTTGTTCAGCCATTCCCCATTTGATGGGCATCCCTTCAATTTCCAATTCTTTGTCACCGTGAAAAGAGCTGCTATAAATATTTTTGTACATGTGGGTCCTTTTCCCATTTCTGTGATCAATTTGGGATACAGCCCTAGAAGTGTTATTGCTGGGTCAAAGGGTATGCACATTTTTTATAGCCCTTTGGGCATAGTTCCAAATTGCTTTCCAAAATGGTTGGATCATTTCACAACTCCACCAACAATGTATTAGTGTTCCAGTTTTCCCACATCTCCAACATTTATCATTTTCCTGTTTTGTCAGAGAAAAATGATCTTTGAAGGGGTGTGTTTAACTTATTGGTTTATTGATATGATATTCTTATAGTGATGTCTGTTCTCCAATTATCTCAGATGCTTTTCTCTAATTTGATGAAATTATTACCCTACTTAATTGGATTGTATTTGTTCTGTTTCTTAGATGTGAAAAGGGACACAAAGATATTCCAAATGCATTTTTAAAAATCATTTGCTTCTTTTTTTAAAAATTCAGTTTTATTTTTAGTTCCCCATCTCCTCCACCCATCGAAAAGGCAAGAAAACCCATTACACGTATGAAATGGTACAAAACAAATTTCTCTATTAGCCATGTTTAGGGTGGGTGTGTGTGTGTGGGGGGACAGACAGGATAAAACAAGAAAAAGAAAGAGAAAAAAATATGCTTCAGTCTGCACCCGAGTCCATCATCCATCTGGAGGTGGATAGCATTTTTCATCATGAGTCCTTCGGAATTTTGGTGGGTTATTGTGTTAATCAGAGTTATTAAATTCAGTTTTTTATCTTTACAGTACTGCTGTTATTGTGTGAATTGATTTCCTGGTTCTGCTGACTCCGCTGTTTCCCATAAGTCTTCCCAGGCTTTTCTGAAACTCCTTGATCATTTCTTACAGCACAGTAGTATTCCCTCACGTTATATACCATAACTTATTCAGCCATTCTCAGTTAATGAGCATTGCCTCTGTTTCCAGTTCTTTGCCACCACAAAAAGAGCTACTATAAATATTTTTGTACATACAGATCCTTTTCTTTCATCTCTTTGGGGTATCAACTTGTAGCAGTATTTCTGGATCAAAGGATGTGCACAGTTTAATAGTTTGGGGGGCATAGTTTCAAATTGTTTTCCAGAATTGTTGGAGTAGTTCACAACTCCAGTAGCAGTTCCTTAATGTGCCGGTCTACCAGATCTAATCCCTTAAATCTATTTTTCACCTCCACTTCATAAGGGATGGTATTTAGGTCATACCTATATGATCTAATGATTTTCCTTAATTTCTTCAATTTAAGTATGAATTTTGCAATAAGAAACTCGTGATCTGAGCCACAGTCACCTCCAGGTCTTGTTTTAACTGACTAGAGCTTCTTTACCTTTGGCTGCGAAGTATATAATCCATCTGATTTTGATATTGACCAACTGGTGATGTGCATGTGTAGAGTTGCCTTTTGGGTTGTTGAAAAAGAGTGTTTGTTATGACTAGCTAGTTATCTTGACAAAACTCTTATTAGTTTCTTCATTTTATACTCCAGGCCAAACTTGCCAATTATTCCAATTACTTTTTAATTTCCTACTTTAGCATTCCGATCCTCTATGATGAATGTAACATCTCTTTTGATATTATTTCTAGAAGATGTTGTAGGTCTTCATAGAACTGATCAACTTTGGCCTCTTCAGCATCAGTGGTTGGAGCATAGCTGTGCCAAATAGTTCTGATTAATTGTGCTTTGTGTGAGATTGCTGTATTGTGAAAATTACGATAATATTTAAAGCCCATACATTTATTTGGTGACATACTATTGGGTATTCATTCAAAAATAAACCTTTTTAGGGGCAGCTAGGTGGCACAATGGATAGAGCTCTGGCCTTGGAGTCAGGAAGACCTGAGTTCAAATCTGGCCTCAGACACTCGACACTTACTAGCTGTGTGACCCTGGGCAAGTCACTTAACCCTGATTGCCTCACTGAAAAAAAAAAACCTTTTTATTTTTGTTCTCCACAGGGAATTTTAAAATTGTGCTATGAATGGTGATACAGGCTCAACGGTGGTGACTTCACCACCTCCAACCACAGCCCCTCATAAGGAGCGATATTTTGATAGAGTAGATGAGAACAATCCAGAGTACTTGAGAGAGAGGAATATGGCACCAGACCTTCGTCAGGATTTCAACATGATGGAGCAAAAGAAGAGGGTTTCCATGATTCTGCAAAGTCCAGTAAGAGAGCAACCTTTTTTTTTCCTAACTAAATCTTGCTTCTTATTAAAGGTAGTTTAATATTTCTTATTACATTGATTGTTTTCTATAATGTGTGGTCTTTAATATATGCTAGCTCCAAATTCTTCAAAGGACTTGTTTCATCTCAGGGAGAGGTTAAAGACAATACATGATGGCTGTTCTGACTGTGATCAGCCTGGCAGCCTTATCTTACCAGGCTTGTAGCTGGTTATCTATATCCATATAACTCTTTAGTGGGAGATCTGGCACAGAGGAGAGGGACATTACATAGAAATCAGGAATTTAACAGGTAAGTGAAAGATTACAATGTATGCACATATTTATAAATGTGTATATGTTATGAAATATTTAACTAAAAGGCAAAAGTACCAAAATACACATATATGAAGGTAAATGCATATATATACACAATCACATGTGCATATGTGAAGATATATGTGGGTGTATATACACATATGAGATACATAGATATGCAATAAATAGATATATACATGTGCAATATAGCATCTCCATATATGCTTTAAATCTCCTCTATAGCTTTATGGCCATGTCGTTATAATATGTATACATGAGGGGAGAACAGACCTGGGAGGACTACATCATGGGGTGGGTTCCCCAGCAGATGGCTCCTCCAGTTTCAGGGTACTGTGTGGATCTGCATCCATAAAACTATCATTCACAGGCCCCTACTATTGTGTTTAACTTTGATAGTGACCCAAAGGACAAAGTTAATTAAAAAAAAAAGGCACTTAGTGAAATGTCATAGTAAAAAGGAAGTAGCAGCAAAACACTACCCCCTCCTCAAAAAAATGGGATACACTCTCACAAATACTTATAGTGGGAAGAGAGTGGTTACAAATAAAGGATAGATGTGGAGGGGAACACATGTGGCCAGGGCACATTCATGGGGAGGGAACACATGACTAAGGTACAAGTGTAGAAAGGCGACATGTTTTCGACACCGCACAGCCCTTTCCTATCTGTCCAGTCTTCTTATACCTTTCCTTCCATGCACTTTGAGATCCAGTAGTACTGGCCTCCTTGCTATTCCTCACATACAGTACTCCCTCTTCTAACTCTGAGTGTTTTCGCTGGCTTTCTTCCATGCCCAGAACTCTCTTTCTCTTCATCTCCATCTCCTAGCTTTGCTGGCTTTCTTCAAGTCTCAGGTGAAGTCTCACTTTCTGCAAGAGGCCTTTCCCAGTTCTCCTTAATAGTAATACCTTCCCTCTGCGACTGCCCCAAATTTATGCTGTATACATCTCGTTTGTACATAATTGTTTGTATGTTGTTGTGTTACACTGTGAGCTCCTTAAAAGCAGGGACTGTTTTTTTGTCTGACTTTATATATTCCAAGCATAGCTCCTGGCACATGGTAGGTGCTTAATAAATTCTGGTTGCCTGATTGATTATTTTGTCTTCTAGTGACATCTCACTGCTTCTTCCGGCATTAGTTTGGTGTTCCTCTGAGCCAGACCTGCTCTCCACTAGTCTTGTGGTTTTCACTGAATGCTGTTCTCAGTAGCACATTGCTACTGCTGTGATAGATACTTCTCCACTGGTTTTTTCAGGATACTGTTTTGCTGATTGATTTGCTGGCATCCCTGGTGAATGCTTCAGCTATCATATCCCATTTAGCTTCTGACTTTTTAAAAATGCTTGTCTAGAGTACTTCAGTAATACTCTTTTATAAAAGTCATCAAAACCCTCACCCCAGCCTAGGAGCAAAAGAAATTTCCCCTGTTTTGTTCCCTCAGAATCTAGATTCTAAAGTCTTCCATCTCTTGAGCATGAGATTCTTGCTCCTGGGTGTCAAAGACTTTAGAAATAAAGAAATAATAGCTTTCTACAGTCATTGCATCTACTTCCTCTCTTTTCTTTCATTTCTTAACCATTTACAGCCTTTTTTTTTGACCTCATCACTCAAATGAAACTGCTGTCAACAAAGTTATCAGCATTTCCTCAATCACCAAATCCAATGGCCTTTTCTCAGTACTCATCTTTTTTGACTTCTCTGCAACATTTAACACTATTGACCATCCTCTGCTCCTGAATGCTCTCTGTCTTCTTGGTTTTCATGACATTACTTTCTTTTGGTTGTTCTCCTATCTGTCTGACCATTCCTTCTCTGTTTCTTTTGCCAGATCATTAGTCATATCATGCCCCCTAACAGTTCTGCGTCCTTTTCTCTTTATTTTCTCCTTTGGGGACCTCATTAACTTGCATCATTTAAACATTATTTCTGTTTTTACGTCCTCATCTCCCAAACTGATATATTCAGCTCTAATATCTCTACTGAATGCTAGTCACAAATTTCAAAATGCCCACTGGATTTTTTGAAGTGGATGTTTTGTATTCATCTCAAACTCAACATGTTTAAAAATGGAACTCATTGTTATTTCCCCCAAATCCGGCCTTCTTCAAAACTTTCCTCATTTCTGTTGGGGTCACCACTATCTTTTTAGCCACCCGGTTTCAGAATGTCAGTATTATCTCCGATTCCTTACTCTTACCACATATCCATTCAGTTGCCAAATCTTATCAACCCTGCCTCTACAATATCTTTCTTATTTGTTCACTTCCTTCTGCTCACATAGCCACCAACCACTGTAGTTCTGGTCTGTTACGATAACTTTCTAATTTAACTTCCACTCTCAGTTCTTTCCTTACTCTAATTCATTCTCCACACAGCTGCCAAAGTGATTTTCTTGAGATACAGGTAAGACCAAGTCACTCTCCTATTGAATAAACTCCAGTGGCTCTCTGTTACCTGTAAGTTATAATATAAATGTAATACAATCCTACATTCCTCATGATACATTATACCCCTCATTACACATTTCCTTCCTCATTATAGCTTACTTCCCTTCACACATTCTATAGCCTAGCCAGACTACCTTTATTCCTATTTCTTATACACAGCCCTCCATCTGCCATCTTTGGACCTTTGTACTGGCTAACCCTCATGCCTGAAATGTACTCCCTTATGTATTCAAATGTATTCAAAACCCTTCCTGATCTTCCAACTCCTAATGACTTTATACCCAGTTATTTATAGATGTATAGGATATATGTTGTCTCCACTGGCTAGATTATAAGCTACTTAGGGACAGGGGCTGCTTGACTTTTGTGTTTGAATCTTCAGTACCCAGCACAGTACTTAGAGTACAGAAGATGTTTAATAAATGCCTGGTTAATTAAAAGAATAGGATTACCTCAGTAGCTAATGTTGTTACAATTAATATTTTCTTTTGAAGACTCTTCCTGGTACGAGGCTTGGTCTCCTTTGTCACAAATACCTTACCCAAGCCTACCATTTTCATCTCTGAAGGTTAAGCAATAATTATTTGCCTAATTTATAGCATTAATATAACATCAAAACTTTATACTTAGATTAATTTTTACCCTTACTGCCTATTGAGAATCATAAGGTTTAGAACTGGAAAGGATTGTAGAGATCATTTAGTCCAGCCTCTTCCTTTTACATTTGAGGAAACTGCAGCCTAGAGAACTGAAGTGTCTTGGCCAATGCATGTGACTGGCAAGTAGCAGAACTAGATTTCCCACCCAGGTCTTTGAATTCCAAATACGGTGATTTCCACTATGCCACACTAGCTTTCAGAATTGTGGTAAGGATCAAAAGAAATAATATGGTGTGTCTAGCACATGGTAAACTTAAACTGTAAGGTGCAATAGAAAGATTAGTTGTTATTATTGCCCATATTTGTAATTTTCATGTATTGATGCTGGAATTGTTAATGATTTCCCATGTTCTTTTTTGCAGTTGGATATCATCCAGCCTTATTCTTGATTCATTTCTTTTACGTTCTTGACAATGATCTTACAGATTATTAAAAAGCAAAAGGATCACCATAAACTTGAATGGAATCTGTACAATATATCTTACAAAAGGGAAACCTATTGATTTAAGTGCCTGATTCAGAAAGGGACATTAACATTTTTACCTCTTCAGATTCTTTGTTGTTCACATCCTACATGTGACACCTTCGGATGTAGTCCAGTCAGATATCAGAAATCTTAGAGCTTTATTTTATTCATACTCTGTTTCTGTGTATCAAAAACCCATTCTGATGAGGTAGAAGCAGCATGATGCTGAAAAGAGCACTGAACTGGGTCCCCACAGTTCACATCCTGACTCTGACTGACTCTGATTGGCCATGCTGACCAAAGTTAAGTTATCTGGAGCTCTCTGAGCTTCAATTTCCTTGTCTATAAAATTGAGGTAATACTTGTACAGAGTTGTGAAGAATGGCTTTCTAAACCTTAAAATCCTGTAGTAAGATGTGCTACTGCTAATATTGATGCCAATAACAGCAACATCTTTTGAGAAATAATATTAACAACACAATGGTGTATGCAAAAATGTATATTGCCCATTGATTTTATGTATATGAGGATTATTAAAATAGATTATTTGCTGTTTTCAAAAATCTTATTTTTTTTATTGGAAATCTAAGGGCATTGATTAATTTTACTGTTTTGGTTTTGCATATTAGGAAAACTGCAAATAATTCACCTAGCCAAAACCTGTATAGAATCTTTAAAATATTTGCTATTATTCATTTTCCTGAGTTTTGTCAAAATTAGGCACTATAGGAGTGAGATTTTCCCATTCCTAGGGATGAGTAAAGCTGCATCATTATCTCAGAAGTCATGGGGCACATGATCTATTCATGTTGTCTGATTCTGTCATGCTGTAGCTTTGTTTAATATATGAGAATCTGCATTGCCTGTTAAGATAGCCCAAGTGAACAAGCAATGCTGTGTCCCTTTTATTTAATTCCTGTTGACTAAGTTACTCTCAGCCTTCCTTCAACTTGCTGTCTATCACAGAATACAATCTATTTACTGTAGTGTTGTTCACCATGATTCATTACATGGATGCTTTTTAAGGAACTCCTTGTTGACAGTGGTGCTATTGTCATGGATTATCCACTGATACAATTTATTACACTTAAGGATTTCACACACTACAGTTTTTCCCTAGCATTTTCCTAGGGAATACTATTACTTAGTTTATAGCATCCTTTCCAACTCAGGAAATGAAACTGGAAATAAGTTTCAAATAACATCAGCCTGAAACCATGTAAAGCACACTCCTACCTCTGTAGTACTTATAAACAAACATATTTCAGATATGATTATTTTGGACAGCATGACATTGGGTAGTATTCTAGTGTTTATCTTAAGCATTCTTTATATTTAATCGGAGCTATGACATCAGTGCATGCCCTCCTTGCACTGGTTTAACTCACAGCTTATCCATATCTTTTCATCCTCTGCGATCTTTATTTATGTCCTTCAATAAATACTCCATGGAAGATGAATTCCCATACTAAAAGCCTTCTTCTGGATCTGTTAATATTGCCTAAATACCAATGCTGCACTTAAACTGTCCACACTCTTTTTCTTCACTCTTGCTACGTGACCTGCTGAACTCCTTTTGTAGTCATTTATGTTCTTGATGAGGTCTTTACTAAAGTCACAAATGCAGTTCAGCCCATTCTCATTTTACTTTACAGTTCTGAGCTTATATCATTATCCTGCAGAAGTATTTGTCTGAGATATGTGTATTGATGGGCTGACTCAGTGGGCTGCCCATCCAGTTGTATGTCATAATCTTGGCTAATAGTCTCCAAACCTTTTCTCTAAAACACTCTGAAAAGGGTATGTTAAAAAAAATTTTGAGCCAGCACTCCCAATTTTGTATATTTACTTATTAATAAATCATAGTTCTATTGTATTAATAACTATTATATTGTAAAACATATAAAAATAAACATTTTAAAAGGATAAGATAAAAATGAAAGAATATTTTATCCTTGAGTAAGTAGAGAGCCACTGGAGTTTATTGAATAGGGAAGAGATATAGTCATACTTGGGCTTTAGGAATATTATTTTGGTGGCTCTGGTTTAGAGAAAAGAGATACTAGGGACACTGATTGAGAAGCTATTAGAATAGTATGCATGAGAGGTAACGAGAGCCTAAACTAGGGTAGTAACTGTGTTTGTAGAGAAAAGGGAACAGATTAGATATGTAGAGGTAGTATGAATAAGGTTGGGCAAATGATTAGATATGTTTGGGGTGGAGCTGGTGAGGAGTTGAGAATCATACTGAAGTTTTGAATGACAAAGGGTCAGAGTTATAGACTGTTGAGGGATTAGAATGGGTGTGGCGATTTTGGAGATAATCCTCACTGACAAGCCTGTATTTATCACGTTAAGGGTGGCATGCAACCCTTCTTCCCACCCTTTCATTGGTTGATCATATGCCCCTTAGGGTCAAATAGTCTCCACTTTGGAGACCACTGAACACCACTGAAGTAGACCATATTATTCTTTTGCTGGGCCAATTAATCAAACAGTAAGGAATTTCTTATTTCTTTATAGAGAGAACAAAGACGATTGAAGTGCAGTTTGGGTGGATGAGGCAAAGATAATACAGATAGAAAAATTGCATGAAACATCATTAAACTAAAATAATATTTTTCCTTCAACTTTTAACTATTAAAATATTCTTTGACTTCTTTTTAGGCTTTTTGTGAAGAATTGGAATCGATGATCCAGGAACAGTTTAAGAAAGGGAAGAATCCCACAGGCCTATTGGCATTACAACAAATTGCAGATTTCATGACCACAAATGTACCTAATGTTTATCCAGCAGCACCACAGGGAGGGATGGCTGCATTGAACATGAGTGAGTAGATGACCATTTTTTGTATAAATTTTATATAGTGTCTTGTGTACAGTTTCCAGAATCTTTCTCTGATAGAATATAAATTCCTTTAAAACAAGGACTATTTCATTTTTGTCTTTATATCCTCAATATGATGCATGGTACCTGGCACATAGTAGTCATTTAATACATTCTCATCAACTTATTAATTTCTCATGAAATGAAAAGAAATGTAAGTAGAACTACTACCTACTCTCTTTAACATATAAGTATTTTAAGATGTCAGCAAGGTAGCTTAGGGTCATAACATTTGAGAACCGAAAGAGCCCTTAAAAGGTCATCGATTCTAATTCCCTAATTTTATAAATGAGAAATCGGCCTTGGAGAGATGAAGTGAATTGCCAGTCACACAGCTAGAAAGAGGAATATACCCATCTTTAAACTTTGGTTTTCTTACTCGTAAGTCTAGTGCTTTGTCCCAAACCAGAAGTACATAATAAGTATTTTTTTCAGTAAAATACAGTCATGTCACATTAATAACGTTGTCCTGGTCAAAAAAAATGCAAGCAATACATTCTAATTAAACCTCGCCTCAATATCATGAAACTCGACCATAATGTTGTTGGGTTTGTCCCCTCTCATCCTAAATCAAATCGTATTTGATTAACAATACTACTAGTTAGCACTAGAGCTGCTGAAGTGGGAATAACTCTTGAGTCCCATTGTAACATTTCACCTACCATCTTATTTTGTGGAACCAATTAATTATGTTAAATATATTGAAATAAATTCTTGACTCGTCAATATTTTGAAAGGTTTTTTTTTAATGAGGAAATTAGCATCTCTTTTTTCCAAGGAAATGGTTGTTGTTTTTTTTAACATGTAATTTGTGGCTTTTCAAAAACATCTTCAGAATTAAAAGAAATCCATAAAAAGTCTGCTTGCCAAATTTGCATCAGGTTGACTAACATGCTTTTACTCAACCAACCAGGCAGGAAAACATTAGTTATTTGGGCATGATCGTTGGTGTGCTACTCTAGTGGAGCTTAATCTTTTCCAAAATAATAAAATGGATTTCAGAGTATTTTTTAGAATTAACTGACCTGCATTGGGAAAAGCTGAGAGAATAATTTTAGCCTCAGTCTAAGATGAGATCTTCCTGGCTCAGTTTCCCCATTATGTTCCTTTGAAAAGGAATGTTACCTACCTGGCTATTCCTAAGTCTGGCTATGAGGTGGATTTGATACTGAATAGGTGAAAAATGGAATTATCTGAATCCAAACAGAGCTAACGATGTTTTATCCTGTCCTATCTGGGCCCTGCAGTCTTTTCTGTCAGATTTGTGTCTTCCAGACTTAACAGGCCGTTTACCTGCATTTGGTAGCAAACAGCAGGTACCAGCCAATGTCCCCCCATGGTTCCCTGGGTGCCGCCTGTGCTCGGTTCAACCTCCTCTGTGGGACTCCTTCAAGGCGAGGACAGCTCTATGCTCCTTGCCAGCAGGAAGCAGTTTCAGAAGCTGAGACCTTTGCCCCTTACCCCAAAAGAATTTGGGTCCCATTTGTTTGAGGGGGGGAATGATGAGTATAGGATCTAGACCCTAAAAAGGAAAAATCCTGGACTTTCCCCCATGGCCAAATCTCTGGTGTTCACTTGAGGCTATAATCCCATCAACTGGCCTTTCATTGTAGTTTTGCCCAATCTCTCAACTCTGTTACCCTTAATCTAGCCTATCCCTCCATTGTCTTACCTCCCTAAGGCCCCAGGCCATTTCCCACCCTTAATCCTATCTAGGCTTCATTCTCCCTTGGCCACATGGTCCAGGTCCCTAGAATTCTATTACCTCACAAACTACTTGACCACTCCCAGATCCCTCCCTTAGTCTTTCCCTATATAAAGTCCATCTTGTCTCCATTAAGATGCACAGATTCTTATAATCTAGCTGCTGCTCAGATTCATATATATATATAATCTAGCCAATAGCTCACTAATGTTCAGACTCCTTAAGAGTCTGCCCAGTATGATGGATGTTCAAATAAACTTTATCTTTGGCTGAAAAAAAAAAAGAATTAAGTGACCCTTCCCATGATACAGCTTGGTTCTTATCTGATTTTATGTGGCAGATTTAAATAAACAAAAGCTAGTTTCTTATATCTGTTTCATCTGAATTCTCTTACATTTTGTGTTTCCATGTTCCACTGTAACTTTTGAAACAGTTGATATAACATTACACTATAAATTTATAAAGGTTTAATTTTAATGTCTGATTCAGTCCATCTTTTTTTTTTTTTTGGCTAGGCAGTGGGGTTAAGTGACTTGCCCAGGATCACACAGCTAGTAAGTGTCAATTGTCTGAGGCCAGATTTGAACTCAGGTCCTCCTGACTCCGGGGCCAGTGCTCTATTCACTGTGCTACCTAGCTTCCCCCCTTTCAGTCCATCTTCTGCCATCTTCCAAATGGCATCCCATAGTTTTGAAATGGGCACATCTTAATTCTTTTTTTTTTTTGTGAGGCAATTGGGATTAAGTGACTTGCCCAGGGTCACACAGCTAGTGTTATGTGTCTGAGGTTGGACTTGAACTCAGGTCCTCCTGACTCCAGGGCCAGTGCTTTATCTGCTGTGCTACCTAGCTGCTGCTCTTAATATAATTCTTAATGAATTTCAGTGAATATAGCATGTAAATAGAGGTTAGAGCAAAAAAGGTTTTTAATTTCTATATAGCCTACTAATTCAGAGACAAGAGTAAAACTTGTAGTTTAATAATGCCTCTTCTATACCAGGAAAGGCATTAAAAGCGAAAGGAAGTACCTAAAGGGAGATAAATAGAAATGAATGCTAAAATTTACCAGCACCATCAAGACACTTTTTAGAAAAAACTTGGCCATTTCTTATGAATGTAAATCAATCAATTCATGATTGCCAGGACCTCCTAACTACCTACAAAATACCATACAACTATTTATGTTATCTGATCTCTGGGGTTGGGGTTGACCAGGGTCATCACACGTACTGGTGATTGAGAGATTCATTAACTAGACCTGAAGGCAGAGTCCAGTGATATAGTTCAGAAGTATAACTTGAAAACCATGTTTCTTGAGTACCTCAGAAGTCCAAGTGGGTATAATATAAGTGGGAGGCAGGGCCATCATCACAAAATATGAGAAGCATGTTACCATGTATGCTAGTGAAATGACTTTGACAGTCTTGCTCCTTGAAGGTTCATGCTTTTCAAAGTGATCTTTAGACCTCTTATTCTGATGTATCAGCTGGTAATAGCATCATGGTATGCATCAAACTCTCTCCTTTCCTTTCCACATCAGTGATGCTTCAGGAACAGATTCCCTAAAGATGAAAGCCCATTGACTATGTGGGTTGAAAATGACAAATGCAGTGCTCTAAATCACTATTGATTAGAGAAATGCAAATTAAAACAACTCTGAGGTACCACATCATACTCAGCAGATTGGTTAACATGACAAAGCAGGAAAATGGTGCATGTTGGAGAAGATGTGGGAAAATTGGAACACTGATGCATTGTTGGTAGAGTTGTGAACTAATCCAGCCATTCTGAGGAGCAATTTGGAACTATGCCCAAAGGGCTATCAGGCTAATCCAGCAATAGCATTCATTATTAGGTCTGTATATCAAAGAGATCATAAAAAAGGGAAAAGGACCCACATGTACAAAAATATTTATAGCAGCTCTTTTTGGGGTGACAAAGAATTGAAAATTGAGGGGATGCTCATCAATTGCGGAATGGCTGAACAAGTTATGGCATATGAATGTAATGGAATATTATTGTTCCATAAGAAATGATGAGCAGACAGATTTCAGAAAAACCTAGACTTACATGAACTGATGCTGAGTGAAAAGCAGAACCAGGAGAACATTGTAAATAGTAACAGCCATGTTATGCAATGACAAACTCTAATAGACTTAGCTCTTCTCAGTAATGCAGTGATCTAAGAGTTCCAGAAGCCTCATGATGGAAAATGCTGTCCACGTCCAGAAAAAGAACTATGGATTCTGAATGCAAATCGAAGCATACTATTTTCTCTCCTTTTTTTCCCCTTTCTCATAGTTTTTCCCTTTTGTTCTAATTCTTCTTTCACAACATATCTAGTATGGAAATATGTTTAATATGATCATACATGTATATAGCCTGTGTCAGATGCATGCTGTCTTGGGGAGGGGGAAGAGAGGAAGGAGGGAGAAAATTTAGAACTCAAAATCTTATAAAAGTGAATGTTGAAAACTAAAAAGAAAGAAAGAAAACAAGTAAATAAATTACAGAAAATGACAAATGCAGCTACAACTGAGAAAAAATAGTCAGTGAAACAGTAGAGTTCATGGTCCCTGAGGTCCAGAAAAATAGTAGATATTATTGCTAGCTGTTTTTAACTAAGCTGCAGACATGGATTGCATTAACATTTTTTACAGATATTGAAAGCCTATTGAGAATTATAAATGTAAACATTTCTGTGAGCATTCTATGAAATTATAACTCATAAAAGTAACCCTATTATAGTTGTGGCCATATAAACCTGATTCACTGTCTCCAAACTTAAACTTGTGTCAATTTCATTAAATACTTTGGCCATCCAGAATCTGGACCTTTTCATTGTTGCCAATTATAAGATAATAGTAATGCCCAAAGTTTACATTTTCCTCACAACAACTCTGTGCAGTTATTGCTCCATTGTGCTGATAGAGAAACTGAATCTTAGAGAGTTTTGGTGTTTAGTTGTAAAGCTACAAATGTAAGCTCTAGGATTTGAGCCCAGGCATGAGTCCAGCTCCGGAACCAGACACTTAATTAGTTTTGTGACCGTGGGCAAGTCATTTAATCCTGTTTGCCTCGGTTTCCTCATCTGTAAAATGAGTTAGAGATGGAAATGGCAAACCACTGCAGTATCTTTGCCAAGAAAACCTCAAGTAAGGCCATGAAGATTTGGACACACTGAAAAAAGACTGAACAACAAATAACAACTTATACGTTTGTGACTTTGCCCAGGCTATCTAATATGACTGGGATGCATTTTCTTCTCACTGCCACCTCTTAGAATACTAACTTCCTTCAAAATTCATCTCAGGTGTGCCCTCTGTAAAATGAGAGGGTTAAACTAGATGACTTCTGAGTTATCTTCAAGCTCTAAATCTGTGATTCTATAATTCAATAAAGTGTTTCCTAATTCCCTACATAACCGTTTACATACTGTATTCTCACTCTACTCCTCCATAGAAAGTAAGCTCTTTAAGGGATGATTTTATTTTGTCTTTGTTATCTCAGCACTCAACATAGTACCTTGCATATTGTAGGCACTTAATAAATGCTTATGGAATGGTATTGAATTTTATTAATCCTTATAAGCCCCAATTTTCTCATTTATAAAATTTAAGATAGTAATTATAATATTACATGTATTGCAAGTTTGTTGTGACATACTATATTTATACTGCTTTGTAAAATGAAAAGTGTGGTTATTAGCATTTGAGCATAAATATTAAACCTTTTGCTTTTATTTTTTGTCATTTCAGGTCTTGGCATGGTGACACCAGTGAATGATCTTAGGGGATCAGATTCAATTGCATATGATAAAGGAGAGAAATTATTACGATGTAAATTGGCAGCTTTTTACAGATTAGCAGATCTTTTTGGGTGGTCTCAGCTTATTTACAACCATATAACGGTAAGTATTAAAAGAGGTAGTTACTAAATGATTATCATACAGAACGTGGTATTTCTTCTGTCTTTGGCCCCACCTTACCTTCCATTTTAAAGAAAATGAAGTCTCAGTTACAGTAGGCGGTAAAAGGATCCACCTTTCTGGTTGTGTCGTTGTTCAGTCATGCGTGATTTTTTGTGACCCCATTTGGAGTTTTCTCAGCAAAGATCTTGGAGTGGTTTGCCGTTTCTTCCAGTTTATTTTACAGATGAGGAAACTGAGGGAAGCCAAGTTAAGTGACTTGCTTTGGGTCACAAAACTAAGAGGTGTCTGAGGCCAGATTTGAACTCAGGAGGAGGAGTCTTCCTGGCACCAGGCCAGGCACTTTATCCACTGTACCATGTAGCTGCCCTTCTGCTTGTGTAGAATAGAACAAATAGAACTTTAATCAATTTGGTTTGAATTGGGTCTTAAAAGACACTGCTCCAAAATAATCATAATGAAATGCAACTTTTCAAAATTTGAAGTACCCTACATATTAAAATGAGTGTCTGTTGTTCTACAGATAATTGCTTAAATTATTTTTAAAAGCCCATTCTTATTTTTAAGAATGTAAGTTTTTATTCGTTAAGTCTGCTTATTCCTCAATTCAACTGAATTCCATCAGTCACTATAATTTTAGAGAAAGATACCCATATCCCCAGCTCTGTACCTTGTAGACATGACAGTGGGGACCATTTACTCCACCACTTATGTCAGCTCCCTTCATTGTGACAGCAGGAATGATTGCTGTCATCTGTATTGTTCTTTAAAAAGTGCCTGTTCTATGTATATAGACTTTAATGCTAATTGATCCTCCAAAATAGGGGTGTTGTGAAAATGTTACAGCTATTATAAGAAATATAATCTATTATTTTAATGGCAGAAATGTACTTTTTGTGAACTTTTCAAATGTTACATGCCAATATTCCATATAACATTTAAAAAAATTCAAGTCCTTCGTTAGACAATAAACATTTTAAAATTTCCCTTTTCGTTGGTTTGGCTTAGAACTAGGCAAAAACCAAAGCATAACTGAATTCTTAACCTTATTATATGCAACCTTTTTGACTGAATATTAGAGACCTGTGATTTCTTAATGTGAAAATTCCTTCTGCCAGTGTACATGGCTATGCTTCTGTAACTTAAAGTCCTAGAGAGTTGCCTGGGAGTTCTAAGAAGCTTTGTAACTTGTCTGCAGTCACATAACTGGTAAGTGTCAGAGACAGACTTGAAACCACGTCTTCCTGATTCCAAGGTCAGCACTTTACCAAAGTAATAATGAACCAGCAGAGAAAAAGAATCTGTAGCCTGGCATTAGGTTTTAAAAAATAATTTTTTTGTCTTTGGGGAAAAAAAGGAACAGGAGATAAAGGAAAAATAAACTACAGAACCTCTTTAAGGAAAGAATGTATTTTAGAAGTATTTATCTTTGAATTCTGCTTCTGATTCAACAAACATTTATTAACTTCTTATTGTGTGTTAGGCTCTGAGGGAGATACAAAATTCAGATAAGATAGAGACCTTGCCCTTTTAGAATTTACACTCTTTTGGGATAAGGTGCATACACAGATAACTAATATATGGGATATCCCAAAAGTCTTAGTGCAATTTTAAGTTTTAATAGATGCTAAGCACATTAGAGAAGCAGAAAACAAAGTTAGGTGTGAGTTCATAAGGGATAAGTCATTACTGATGGGGAATCAGGGAAGTATGAATGAAGGAACAAATCAGCATTAGTGACTGACACAAATTCCTTTTAGTTGGAGACTGCCCATTATCTTTAGTCTTAGACCATTTAAACCTGAGCTTGCCTCTGTGTCAGAGTCTCTCAGTGTTAGTTCTCCAAAAGCACTAGTGCCTGTGTCTGTGCAGAGCTGCTGTGCACTATGGCTTCTGGCACTTGATGTTGCCTCTACCTGGGGCTACACGATCTGGTCTGTTTCTCTGTGCTCCCCCACTTTTTTTTTTATCATTTTGAGGACTTTAGTGTATTATGTACTGAACCTTCTTGCTAGCAAATATAAGTACCTTCAGTGGAAACACTGTTGAAGAAAAATAAGAGATAGCATAACCTAATGGAAAAGTACCAAACATAGAGTCAAGAAGCCCATGGCCTTCAGTCCTGGCTCTGACACTTAATATCTGACCATAGGGAAGCTCTTTCATCTTTCTGAGTTTCTTTCTGAAATGTGTAAGGCAGAGGTGTTAAACTCCCAACCCAAGCTCTCAACCCAATTCCTAAGTAGCCTGAACCACGTTAAACTGTAACTGGGAAATGTTTAACAAAATAATTAACATTACCCACTGGTTTTCTAAATCAATTTGCAATCCTGTTTGTATTTGAGTAAGTAATACTTATACTACTAACCTCATAGTCATTGGTTAGTAGTACGTTTTAAAGTTATCATTATTAATGTTATTAATTCCAATCACAGAAGCTCAGATAGGGAAGAGACTTTAGAGGTGTAGTTCAGTATCCACCTAAAGTACAAACTTCCTGTAAAACATCTCCAATAAGTGATCACCTTGCCCCTACTCAAACAAATAGGCAATTTGCTATCATTCCGGGCATCCTTTTCTTTAACTCTGTCATTCAGTAAATATTTATGAAGTACCTGTATCAGGCACTGTGCTCAGCACTGGAAATACAAAAGGAGGCAAAAGACAATCCCTGTTAACTTGCCATCTTTGGGAAGGGATAGAGGAGGGAAATAGGGAGAAGATTTTGGAATACAAAATCTTGTAAAAAGTAAATGTTGAAAACTGTCTTTACATGTAATTGGAAAAAAAATACTATTTACAAAAAAAAATCCCTGCCCTCAAGGAACTCACAGGCTAATGAGACAACATGCATACAGCTATGTACAGACAAGCTACATCACTTTTCTTTAGAAAATTGAAGAACTATTGATTTAGAAGCAATTCTATCCCCTATCATCTATAGCATCTAGGGGAAAAGGTTAGGTTATCAAGAATAGTATCTGGTTCAAATACCCAAACATAGACTCACTGGCATTTATTGTGTGAAAATAAACTAACTTTAAAGTCTCTGGTGACTCCTTTCTACCTTGCCTCTGACTTCTAATTTCCTTTCATTTCTAAGGAGCTTAGGGATCATTTAGTGTAACCCCATCATGTGAAAGTGCAAAGCACTGTCTCTTTAATCAAAGACTGATTAAACCTATCACAATTAACCTCTTTGGTAACTGACCGTGGAATATCAAGTTGCACAGTTCAAATCCAGCCTCAAAGACATGACACTTACTATCTGTGTGACTCTGGGCAAGTCACGTAACCCCATTGCCTAGCCAAATTAAATCAATAAATAACTGAAAAGAACAAGGATGGATGAAAAGTAGAAGGTGTAAGGGTAATGGTGACTTTTGTATTTTAAAAAATACTAAGAAAACATCTTATTTATTTTGGAAACAGCTAGATGAAAACAATGCTGGGTTATAATGTGCATGGTTTCATAAAGAACAAGTCATGGTAGACTAATGATTGGAACAACTGGGTGTGTTTCATTTGGAGAAGAGTAAGACTAGAAGGGGAAATTTGACAGTCTCAGTTATTTGACTATTTGTCATTCAATTCAGTGTCGCAAATATTTGAATACCTACCTTTTGCAAGTTACCATCATATAGAAGGCTCATTAAACCCATCTTAGTATCTTTCTGTTAGGACAGACTTATTCTCTGCTGTTCAGTAATGATAGGCATTACAAGGAGGCAGATTTCAGCACGAAACAAGAGCAAACTTTCTAACAAGTTGATCTGACAATGAGAGGCCTTTTTTTTTTTAAAGGAAGTAGTGAACTCCGTCACAAATGTTCATTTGGAAGAGATAGATATTCTAGGAAAAATATCTCAAGTCCATTATAAGGTTAACTAGACCTGGAAGACCTCAAATTCTTTGATTTTATTTGTTACTCCAGCTTTAGGAAATTAAGAGGAAGTAAGGTAATTCATTCGGACCTTTAGGAAGACTTTCAATTATATAAAAGAATAGTCTGCAATAAATTCAGAAAATATTCAGTTCAACCACTATTTATTAAGTGCCCACTACCTAAATTGTGTTAGGCATTGGGAAATACAAAGACAAAAACAAACAAGGCCCTGTTCTTAAGGGACTTATATTCTACTTTAAGGATACCTCACATGCACAGATAAGAATAATATAAAATAATTTAAGGAGCAAAAGAGCACTAACTACTGAGCAGATCAAGAAAGCTTTCTTTAGGTCAAGGGTTCTTGACTTAATTTTTGTCGTGGACTCTGATAGTACAGTGACTGTGAACCCCTTCTCAGAATGATGTTTATGAGATAGGATTACAGAGGAACCTAAAGGTTAGTGAAAATAAAGTTGTTTTTTTTCCCCATTCAAGTTCATGGAAGCCCTGAAATCTAGGGATCTGTGGATGTCAGGTTAATAACTCGTGTAAGTGGTGGGTCCTGAGCTGTGACTTAAGGGAAGCTAGGTATTCTAAGAGATATGGGGAACAGCTCCTGCAAAGTTACAGAGATACATCCAGATAGGCCAATTTGGCTGGAATTTAGGGAGCATCAAGAGACACGATATGAAATGAATCTGGAAAGCTAGGTGGAAACTAGGTAATAGAGGATTTTAAATGCGAAGCTGAGAAAAGAGTTTCTTTCTTATCCTAGGGGCAATAAGGAACACTCTGAAGAATATTGAGCAGGGGATTGCCGTCGTCTGACCTGTGTCTTAGTTGTATAAATTTGTTAGCTGTTTAGAGAATATGTTAGAGAGGGAAGAAATGGGAAATAGGGAGAACGATTGGGAAGCTTTAGGATAATGGGCACTTGAGTGAATAAAAGGGAGCAAATGTGAGAGATTTAGTGGAAATAAAATTGACAAGATTGGCAACTATATATATGAATTGGTATTTCAGTATGAGATGGATGTGTTGACTATACAACAAAATAGAGGATTGCCTCTAATATAATATGTAATTCTATTACAGTTATAGTATAGAGTTTTGTAATTGTTCGTCTTCTACCGGTTTTTGGTTTCTAAAATTCTGCATAACCTATCAAAAGAAATTACTTGGTTTTAATTATTTGCAAATAGAGCTGTCTAAAAGTGACTGGCTGACTTGGGAGGCTGTAAGTTGCTTATCACTGGTGATCTTTAAGTGGAAGTAATGGGGATGTTTTAGAGGCAAGGGTTGGACTAGATATTTTTCAACTCAGATTCTTTGAATTCTGACACCTCAGGACAATTTGATGTCTTTACTCTTGTTGTTGCTTTTTGTAGCCAGCAGAGGGTGCAGGAGGGTAAAATTGAACCTCATCTTACGGAGTGACCAAATACAGTTAGGTATTCTACATTGTGACTTTCCCCATCATGATTTCCATAAATTGTGGGTCAGCATAAGAAATTAAATGAGAGGTTTTGGGGAGTTTTGTGGAAGCTGCAGACAACACGAGAAGGTCAACAGATAACAAAGAAAAAGTTTAGAAACTTGGAAATGCATAAAACATGTATAGAGTATTGTATAATATCAACAGACTTCTCTGGTATGAAGGGAGGGCTAAAAAGTTTTACGCATATTTTCCAGATCACAGGGGCAACGCCCCTACCCCCATGATGTGGAAGAGATAACTGCAGTGTATTGGCAAGAATTTAGTAAGCTGTAAATACGCCAGGTTGAAATTGGTTCCTCTTTTTAAAAAACATCACTTACAAAATTGTAGAACTTCAGAGTTAGTACCTCAGTGGCCACATAGCCCAACCTGTACCTGAATATGATCTATTACCTCACCCACCTTGTATTCCTTATCTGGGCAGTGAGCCAGTTCTGCCTGTACAGGATCCTGAGGTCATTCATGTTCAGCATATGCTGCTTTTAAACTACACAAAAGTCTCAGCATGGCATTTCCTGCAGATGCAGCATGGTTTACTTGATCAGCTACTGTTCCAACTCTTAATAAAAGGAATGAGACAAAGCAGTGTAAAAAGATTTAATCTCTACTACCTAGAACCTGCCTTCTCTTACCTCCCCTTCAGCTCTGCCTGCCATTTCTATTTCTCTTATGTACTCATTCATCTTATTTCAAATCCTCATTCCTTCCTCCTCTCCTTGCAGGTTCCTTTAAGAGAGAGAGAAGCCAGCAGCATAATTTCCCTTTTCCATCCCTCCTTGGACATACCCAGTTAATCAGCCCCAGATCTGCTACAAAATGTACTTCTCTTACTTTTGTCATCCTTGACTTCATTTAGAAAGTATAAAGAACTGTAAAAATCTAAAGGAATTTATCTAAGATATTCTACACATAGGTCACTGAAACGTGTCTTATATAGTCTGTAAGCTAAGAACTTCATCCTGTGTTCTTTATATAAAAGAAGCGTAATAAACGTTGTTTTTAGTGGAATTTTGAACTGGTTTTAATATTTTGTCTCCTAGGCAAGAGTAAATTCTGAGCAAGAACACTTTCTCATTGTACCTTTTGGACTTCTTTATAGTGAAGTGACAGCATCCAGTCTGGTGAGTGATAATCCTTTTTATGTACGCCATGTACTTATGCAAATCATCCTAGTAGTTAAATATTTCACAAATCTGTTAAATTTGTTCTAGAAAACTAGAGGAAAAGATGCCGATTGTATTTTGTGTAAATAACCAAATTTGGAGTGATAACTCTCCATTGAAATTGTTGTTGAAATTGTTGAAATTGAAAGTTATAATCATAGAAAAATTAAATTTTTGGTGTAGCTTTAATTTTTTTTTTTTTTTTTGGTATATAATTTTCAGGTGAAAATCAACCTTCAAGGAGATGTTGTTGATCGTGGAAGCACCAATCTTGGAGTGAATCAAGCTGGTTTTACGTTGCACTCTGCTATCTATGCTGCTCGACCTGATATTAAGTGTATTGTTCATATACATACACCAGCAGGGGCAGCAGTAAGTGCATTTACTTAAATGTGGCACACAGAATTTTTTGAAGTGTGAACTTGGCCCTATTAGCAGAATTTCTTGAAAATGTTCTTATATTTGTTTTGTTATATGCTTTGTAAAAGCTTTAGAATATTTTGTAGCTATTTAAAAAACTCATTATCTCATGCATAAACTATTGCCATAGCCTTCTGGTGGGTCTCCCTGCCTAAAGTCCTTCCCACTCCAATCCATCCTCCACTCAGCTGCCAAAGTGATTTTCCTAAAGCATAGGCCTGACTTTGTCACATACATCCCCCTCATTGAACTCCAGGGGCTAACTAAAAATGCCTCTAGGATCAAATGTTTGACATTTAAAGCTTTTTACAATCCACGTGGGCCTTTCCTACCTTTCTAATCCTTTCAGTTTATTCCCTTCTACCTACTCTACAATCCAGCTATACTAGCTTGCCCACTGTGTCTTATATACAACATTCCATATCTTTTCACTAATGCCCTTCCTCTTCTTCACCTCTACCTCCTGACTTCTGTGGCTTCCTTGAAGATTTAACTCAAATCCTGCCTTCTCCATAGCATTTTCCCAGTCCCCTTCCACTGCTAGTGCCTTCCCTCTGAGATTCTCTTTCATTTACACTGTATATATCTTGTATGTTTATGGGTATTTACTTGTTGTCTCTTCAGTTTAAAATGTGAGTTCCTTGAATTTAGAAACTATGTTTTTACCCTTTGTAAATCCAATGCTTAACATAGTTCACGTAGAAAGCACTTAACAAATGCTTGTTGGCTTTTCAACTATAAATCATATTAAAATAATGCTTTTCAACCTTTTCCATTTCATGGTATATTTTTAAATTTCTATATTTTTCGTGATCCTAGTTGGGTTAGGAAGTAGGGTTAAACTGGGGAGATGATCTGCCTTTGAATGAGCAAAATCTTAGAGTTAAAAGGCATTTTAGAGATCATCTAAATATAACCCTTAACTGGAACATGAATTGGCCCTCACATGGTTGCTTAGTTAACACTGAAAGACCTCTAATGATAGAGAACTTAATACTTCTGGCATACTGTTTTAGTTTTGCACAGCCCTAACTTTTAGGAAGTTCTTAACATTGTTTAGCTCTAATTTGTAACTTCCATCAATAGGTCCTATTTATACCTTCTAATGCCAAGCAGAAGTCTATTTACAATTACTTGTGACAGTCCCTCAACATAACTATTTGGAAAGGTCGATCCTCTTTCCCCCAGGTCAGAGGTTCTTAACCTTTTTTTTAATGTCATGGACACCTCTAGTCTAGTAAAGCTTATGGATAAATTTTCAGAATAATGTTTTTAAATGCATAAAAATGCTTTTACCAAGCATTATAAACCCAGTTATATTGAAGTAGTTGTCAAAATATTTTAAAAACAAATTCATGGACCCTAGGTTAAGAACTTCTGCCCTAAGTCTTCTTTCCTCTAAACCAAATATTCCCTGTTACCTTAATCTATCTTCCTATAAAATAATTTCAGGTACCCTCACCCCGCGATCACTTTCCTCCGGACAAACTCTAGTTTTCTTAGTATAACACCCAGATCTGAACACAGTACTCCAGATACCATCTGACCAAGACAGAGTACATAACATTGTCTGCTCCCTTATTCTGAACACTATATGAACACAGCCCAAAATCATGTTAAGGTCTTTTCAAATAGGGATTGTTTCATTCCCTGTACTTGTACCCCCAGTGCCTAGCATAATGCCTGGCACATGATAGGTGCTTAACAAATACTTGTTGAGCGATATATATTAAACTATTCTAGCCATTGTGTCACATTGTTAATCCTAAAATCCTAAAATTTTCAGGTCTTTTTCTATGGGTTTGTACATTTGAATTTTTAAAATCTTAACTGTAGGACTTTACATTTATCCCTATCAAATTTTATCTTAAGTCTAGTCCAGTTTTCTAATCTGTGAAGGTATTTTTAGCTATTTTTCTTAAATTCAAGCTATCCCTAAATTTAATAGGTATTTCATCCATCCATTCATCCAAGTTACTGATATATGTTTTATGAATCTATTAAATAGAGGAAGGAAAACATATACAGAATTTATCTGACATTAATGTTTGGCTGTGATTTTTAAATTAAGCTCTTCACAGCACCTATACCTGAGCCAAGCCCCTTGATTTAGATGAATAAAGAAATAGACATGGAATGAAGAGGGAGAACATTGTGGGTCATGTGTGTAGAACCATTCCTTAGAGTGGTCTGAACTAAAGAAAAAACTGGAACCACTGAGACGAGAAATAACCTGACTTACCTCAGCTCACCAGTGAGGTCTTTACAACGTGCACACTATTTTCTAATATAATGTACGTAGAAAACTGATACTTTTAAGAATGTTTCTTTTTATTGCCAAGTTTATTACACTTTAATAATATCTTCTTTGTGGGCTTCAGAGTACCAAGGTTGACTTTGGAGGATCATGAATGCTTATTTTCAGTTCTTTTATTGTTTGGTTTATTGATATGTTTGTTTGATTTCTGTACATCTGTATATGATTCATGGCCGAAATGATTTCCAGCTTAGAGATATAGATGGATTTACTGATTTTATCTGACTGATGTAATTTTTCTGAAAAAAGGATATGCATGTTTTTAAGCTTACCTAGCAATCCCTGGACTTTTAAGGACTATTGGAGGCAGGTTTTGAATATAAAATATAAAATAGATAGCATGTTTCATGCTTTTTAAAATGAGTACTAAGAAAAGAGAATGGTTTGCCTTAAAATGAAATTTCCTGTCAATTTTTGAAGATTATTACTATGAAAGAAGTTAAATTGGAGCCTGTTCTATTAGATTGCTTCCTTAATAGCTTATTTAAGAATGTGACGTCTACTATGGAATAAATATTATCGTGTTCTGAAAGACCTCTGAGTATCCTCAGGAAATGAAATATCAGTATTCTAAAGCAAACTCATAGCACAATTTTTAAATTTTTGGGAAGCTTTTAGTAAGAGGATATGTTATTTTAGCACTTGCTAATTTGTACTTTTAGTGAGCCTCAATCAGATTTATATCATGAATAGGAAAGCAAGGAATTTGAAAACCTATTTTTGAGGCTGATTATAATGATGGATTTTGTTTTTAATTTTGTTGATAGTGTTTAATAAACCTCAGTTCTTCCCAATTTCACATTTTAAATTATTTAATGAAGGAAAAATTACAAGTAAGGATTTTTTTAAAAGAACACATTTTTCTTTTTCTTTATAGGGATTGGTAGGGGCAAAGGGACTGATTTAGTGGGTTAAGAGTATGGGAATATGGTCTGTAGCTACTAGAGGGATGGATAGCCCAAGTGTTGCACTAGCACCTTTTAAATATTAAAGAACCAGAGGAAGGCTTCCAAAATCCTGCATCATCTATGGAATTGTAGGAAGTCTTAGACAAGAATTACATAAAATGCTGAAGATTTGGAGTGTTTGTGATCTGTGCCAATGTAGTACCACACTGACGAAACCATGGATTCATTTAGGGGGAAAATAAACTATGTGTAGTCCTTGTTTTATGTTAACAATTAATTGAATGCTTCATTTTATTTAGGTTTCTGCAATGAAATGTGGTCTCTTGCCAATCTCACCAGAAGCACTTTCTCTTGGAGAAGTGGCTTATCATGACTATCATGGAATTTTGGTGGATGATGAAGAAAAAGTATTGATTCAGAAAAATTTAGGACCTAAAAGCAAGGTCAGTAAATACTGGGTAATAAAAGATGGGGGGAAATTGTCTAACTATTTTTTCCTTTAAAAATTTTCCTTTTTTATTATGAATGTAAACATCAACTAATAAAATATGAATATTTTGTTAAAAAAAGAAACAGAAAAGAGGCTTGTGAATCTCATTACATGCTTCTTGTTTTGTTAAGTATATGTTAAATTCAAGCAGGGCTACAGCCCTGCTAATATTTATCACCTTCTGAATGTCCTTCTGCTCTCTTTTTTTTAAGAAAATGTTTTATTTGTTCATTTCTTTTCTTTTTTATTTATTTACTGTCACTTCCCACTTATTCCCTCTCCACAGAAAATAAAAGCTCTCCTTTATGACAGATAGTAAAGCAAAACAAATTCATACATTGGCCTTATCTAAAGGTTTCTCTCTCATTCTGCACTTCTAATCCATCATCTCTCTGCTAAGATATGGGAGATATACTTCATGATTATAATTCTAAATTCTTGATTGGTCGTTGTTGATCAGAGTTTTTGTTTTTCAAAGCTGTTTTCTTTTTCATTGTAATTGTATAAATTGTTATCTTAGGTCTCTTCATACCATATCAGTACATACAGGTCTTCTCAACTTTCTCTGAATTCGTTCCTCCAAATTCATCCACTTTCCTTCTCACCTATATCTCTATCCCTCTTCAAATTTTAGAAGTATAAAATATGATCAGATCAACTATACTTTTGTTCCTGAATGAGATACTCCCCAGGATGTCACCCCTGTAACTTTCAGAACCAAAGGGACCCTACCTGGTCACTAGTCCCTTATATGCGTTGTTTCCATATTAGAATGTAAATTTTTTGGGAGAAGGACCTGTCTTTGTATTTGTATCTCCAACCCATAGCCCAATGCTTGGCAGGTCGTAAGTGCTTAATGAGTGCTTTTTAATTCACTTATTCATTACATTCATATACTCTAATTTATCCAGCCATTCCTCAGTTGATGAGTATCCAATTTGTTTTCAGTTCTTTGTTACAACAAAAAGTTTTGCTATAAATATCTTCTTTTATATATGCAATCTTTCCCTCTGTCTTTCACATTTTTGGAGTATATGCCTAGCAGTTGTATTGCCTGTCAAAGAGTATGCACAGTTTGATGACTTCTTGGTTGTAGTTCCAAATTGCTTCCCAGAATGGTTGGGCAAATTCATAGCCCTATCAATGATATATTAATGTATGGGTCCTCCCAAAGCCCTTCCAAAGATTTTCATTTTCCTTTTTTATCTCCTTCTAGTTACCTTTTATAATGTATTCTTCCCTTAGGTTCTTATTCTCAGGAATCATGGCCTAGTATCAGTTGGAGAAACTGTTGAAGAAGCTTTCTACTATATACATAATCTTGTGGTAGCTTGTGAGATCCAGGTAAATAATGAGCACTTTATTTTAATCCATGTTTCACTTAGAAGGTGCTAGTAGAAGAGAATTTATGTGGGGATATTTGAGTGTTTGTTTCACAAAACTGGAGGAGAATTTAAAAAGGTAATGTCTGTGCTGAAATTGAACTCATAATATTGGAAATTTAACAAAAACAAGCACAGAGTTCTCCACACAGTAGTTACTTATTAAATATTTCTTGAGTGAGTGAATGCTTTGTAACTTCCTTTGGTACAAATGGAACCATCTTGACAGTGTTTTCCCTAATTCTCCTAGCACAGAAGTGATCTTTCTCTCTCTTCTGACACTTAACACATTCTACCTCTTATTAATAGTAATATCTGTATATATGTTCTTTTCTCCTAGACTATAGACCACATGATAGAGATCACGTCTTCATCATTCTTATGTATACCCTACCACAGCACTAAGTACAATGCATTACACATAGGCTATATCACTTAATGTTTGTTACATCAGTCTATGTACCTCAAATAGCACCTCACATAGTCTCTTAAAAATAGCACATTTAAATATTTATTGAATGAATGAACAAACTCTGGGATACTAAATATAAAAAGTTTAATTTCCAACACGTTGCTACAGAAAGGGATACTTCATACATATTTTATAAGGGCTTTGTTTTCTTATATTTGGCACCAAATCTGAACATAACATTGTTCAAGCTTGCCAAAGAAACTTTTTGAAGACTAGTCCTTTAAATTTTGCATTATTATTTTGTGAATTCAAAAGATCTGTGATTTTGTCAGCCTGGGGTACTTCCTTCCATGATGCAAATTATAAAAATTTTTATGATTTCATGAGTTACTATAACCAAAAAATCCTTTACTTGGTGGACAACGTCAGGTCGGGAGCCTTGCCACATTTAACTAGGATATTATTTGAACAACAGTCCATTACTTAAAGCCTTTCTTAGCATGGTAGGGCATGCCATTTTAGACTCAGTATAGTTTTTTAAGAATTCAGTCACCTCCACACTACTGTAGGACAACGGAGTAGGACTTTAGTTTAGGATTACTTCATTATGCTTGGTAAGTTACTTGTTTTGTCAAAATCCAACAATAGTAGTATATAGAAAGCTTGGCTTGGAATCAGTAAGACCTAGATTCAAATCCTGCTCTAATATTTCCCAATTGTGTGACCATGGGTAAATTATTTAACTTTTATGTGCCTCAGGCCTTGGACTTTTATACTGAGTCACAAGTGAGTTATTCGTTTGCAGTCTGAATTGGCAAAAGGAGTTACCATATTGAGTTCTCTATACTGGTGAATCACAGATATGTAACTATTCAACTAATTCTCTTGGTTTTAACACAAAAGTCAAACTGTTGACATGATTTTTTTTGGGTACAGGTTCGTACGCTGGCCAGTGCAGGAGGACCTGATAACTTAGTCCTGTTAGATCCTGGAAAATACAAAGCTAAATCTCGTTCCCCTGAGTCTCCAGTAGGAGAGGGAACTGGGTCACATCCTAAATGGCAGATTGGAGAACAGGAATTTGAAGCCCTCATGAGAATGCTTGATAATTTGGTAAGACAAATGCTAACCCTTTATACTCTTATTTCAAAAGTACAAACTTTTACACAAGTGAGGGTTTTTTTAGAATATTATCATGCAAAAGTACAGCAAGCCAAGTTCAGCATTTCAAAAGTATCTTAATATGCTATGTCTTAGATGATCAGTTCTCAACCTTTTTGATCTCAAGACCTCTTTTATATATTATATTAAGGACTCCAAAGAGCTTTTGTTTTTGTAGGTTCTATCTATCAACATTTTCCTTATTAAACGTTCAAACATAAATTTTTAACATCTTCATTTTAAAATAACAATAATAAACCCACTACATGTCAACATAAGTAATATTTTCTGTGAAAAATAGCTATATATTCCAAAACATAAAATGTAGGAAGCAAAGTCATTGTGTAGGTCTAGGCCCATTTAGACTTCTTAAATAGACTTTCAAAGAAGAAAATGTCTTGCTTTATTATAAAATGTGAGTGACTACTTAATGTCTTACTTTTATATACTGTTTTGTGATAATTAAGCATATACATGCCTTCTCATTTGACATAATTCATAGTTTTGTGGAAGGAGTACTGAATTTAGCACCAGAAAGCATAATTTGAATAGGTTTAGTTACTGGGCTATACAGCTGTGGTCAGGTCACTTTTCTGAACCTCAGTCCCTTATCTGGAAATGAGTGATAATAATGCTTCCAATATCTATAATATTATTGTGAGTATCAGACAAGATAATGCATGTAAAGCACTTTATAAATTTGAACTACTATCATTATTAACATAATAACAACATTATACCACCCTAACTCGGACTTGATTAGAGCCTGTTAGAATTAAAAAATAAGATTTTTTTTTAATGTGATGTTTTCACTAACATTTGGTCTCTCTCAGAATATGGTAAATTATTATCAATGAGTCAGTGAACTGAAGCAACAGAAATGGGGTGGAAGTAGGTGGGGAGTGGTTCTCTTAATGACACTTTCTATAGAGCCAAGAAGTATTGTAATTCCATAGTATAGCATCAACTGAGGCACCTGAAACATGTTTCCTAGGTATTTCTGTAAGTCCTCTATAGTCCCACCTCAGTCTTTAACACTTGATCTGGACTTTCCGTTCTTGATCATTCAGCATCTTTCCTTTCTGTCTTTCTTCTCTCCCCCAATCCCCACCCTTCCTCAGACAGCTGGATTTCCTAGGTACTCTATTTATAGTATACTATTGGTAATAGCTAACATAGACTATGAAACTGTACTGGAATTTGGGAAGAAATCACTTAAAATTTGAATTATTAGAATTGTACACATGTTTGCTGTTTTCATTCTTAACTCATGATTTCTTGGCCATGTTTATAACTAAATGTTACTGTTTTGGGAAAAATATCAAGGGATCTTAATTTTCAATTCAATTCAATAAACATTAAGTATCTACTACTATTAGCAGTATGCTAAGTGCTGGGGATATACAAATAAGAAACAGTCAGTTCCCATCCTCAAGGAGCTTGCAATCTAATAGGTGAAGACAACACACAAAAGGAAACTGAAAATTGTGAGAGGGGCACCAGGGAATACTTGATACGGGGACATGATGTTACGTGGAGTTGAAACCAAGCAGAGCTTCTAATAGAAACTAGAGAGTTTCCTGAAAAGTTCTCAGCCCTTTGTAAAAACAGGCTTTGGGAGGAGCCCTCCAGCCTCTGATCAGAGGCAAGGCAACTGAGGGAGCTGTGAAAACGCTGAATGTCAAAAGCTGGTATTCAGCTCAATGAGAAGAATCTTTTTAGTTATACCCCAAGATTTGAGGCCGAATGTACAGTGGCTAGAGTCAGTCTAGATTCTAGACTTGGGTTCAAGTCTCAGCTCTGACACATTCTAGTTGCATTACCTTAGACAAGCTACTTAACTTCTAACTGCTCTAGGCAACTTTCTAAGACTGTTACAGAAGAGGTGCCAATATGCGTTGGTAAAGGGAATTTTCTTACCCGGAAATTTTTTATACCTATAAAATTGCAGGTCTGTTCCCCTTTCCAGCCCCCTCCCAAAATTGCTGCATCCTTTAAGGAAGTAATCAGACTTTTAAAAATAGTTATAATTTGTATTCTTTCTCTTTTTACATTTTAAGTTGATGACCATAACGTATACTGCAGTGATGAATAAATTGAATAGAAATAGATTTTGTGAAACACAGAATATTGATTCTTCCTATCCATTTTGTCCTTAGGGTTATAGAACTGGCTACCCATATCGATGCCCTGCTTTGAGAGAGAAATCCAAAAAATACAGTGATGTTGAAGTTCCTGCTAGTGTCACAGGTTACTCCTTTGCTAGTGATGGTGACTCAGGCACTTGCTCCCCTCTCAGACACAGTTTTCAGAAACAACAGCGAGAGAAGACAAGATGGCTGAATTCTGGCAGAGGTGATGATGCTTCTGAAGAAGGGCAGAATGGAAGCAGTCCCAAGTCGAAGACTAAGGTGTGGACGAACATTACACACGATCACGTGAAACCCTTGCTGCAGTCTCTCTCGTCCGGTGTCTGCGTGCCAAGCTGTATTACCAACTGCTTGGTCTGTGCCTACCTTACTGTTCATAGTTAGATGATGTAGAGCAACTTGGGTGGCTGAAAGTTTGGAGGCTTTGGGAATCAAAAACTTTTCTAACCTTGATTAAAACTAAAACTACTGCATTAACCTTCTTTTAATCTGGCAGAGTAAACTTCTCACATTGGTAAAATTTTGGAGAACTGATGCTTCAGACGGGTTGGACTAGATGACCTCTGAATTTCTTTGTAACTCAGATTCTGTGATTCTCTCTAATACTATCTGCTTGAAACTGCTTAAGATACTGAATATTTGCTTGCTTACTCTAGTAATAGCTTGACTCTGTAAAATATCAAATCACTTAAATGAATTAAATTTGTATACTTCCATATTTTAAGTCAATTTATATTTGCCTCAGGACTATTAATATTGCATGCATGGAAAGGCCTTTATACCTACATATTATTAAACTAGTATTTTGGTACCCCAAGTCAATTTCAGTGATTTGGTTAAGTATTTCTAGTAGACTAGTCTCTGTTAAAAAAATCTTTAGTGCTTTCTTAAGCAGTTTTTACTTAATGTAATATTCATGTGTTCTTAGCTTTAGTTTTTCTGTCCTGCAACCCGTTATATTTCTCTGTATCCCAAAGCCTCTAAATGTTCACAACCAGCTGCCTCCTGCATGAACTGTTGCATGTAAGTAGATGGCCATAAGTGATAAGTCTCTCCTCCAGTCCCAGCTGGGTGCGGCATGACTAAAGTGCAGCTCAGGCCATCAGCAGGCACTAATCGAAAGATACTGCAACTGGTGATTTTTTGCTGTTGTTATTAATGCTATTTGAAGTTTAAAATATGTACTGAGATATTCCAGAGTAATGGTGTTCACATGCTTTAGGACCTCAAGCCCCTCTGTTAGTCTCAAAAACTTATTTGATTTCTCATTTGATAGTCCACAGTTCTACATTAAAATGCAAATAGAAATTTGCATGTCTGTAAGCACTCCTAGAGGCTTATATGAGGGAACTGAAGATTGGAATGAACCCAGATGCATGATCAGCTCTACAGGGTTCAGTTGAGATGTAAAACGATTGACTTTAAATAGTCATTACATCTCTCAGTTCTCCTCTTTATGGCTATTTGACATTGTAATCTTGTTTTAAAAAAATTCAGCCTTCTTAGATGGTTTTTTGTTTTGTTTTGTTTTCTATTGATAAAACTGTTTTTAGAGAATCTATATACTCTTGAGCAAATGAGTAGACTCTTTTCTAGTGAGCCCTGAAAAAAGCAGAGAAATTCTTTGTGTATGTGGTGAGTGGGCTTCTTAGTTCCTTTTCCTTTGAATTTTTTTTCTGTTTTGTTTAGATGGTTTTACTTGCTTAAATGAGTTTACTTTTTCTTTTCATTTGAAAGCGGAATAAGGTATTTCTTTTAACTTTTACCCAAATGGTGTAATATATCTCTGTAGTACTTGGCTACTTAAAAGTGCATCCAGCTATAGCTTTAAGTTTTATTTATATTGGCTTGAAAACAGTGTAATCAGATCCCTTGCTACATATAATTAATTGGCATACATTTGAAGGAAGGACCTTGTTAAGCAATTAAATTAACCTTGTCTTTATATTATTATGGATTAAGATAAAAATCATACAGTGTCCCAGGTTGGTGTATTTAATTTATAATACTTGTTCTTAATTTTTCAAGCAGTTTCAGGCTTCTGAGGTTGTTGTTTTAATGTTTTGACTAAAAAAAATTATCTTTAATAAAAAGCTGGAGTTATATTTATCTGAGAAGATAATCATCAGTGAGTATTCCACAGCTCCATATTCATTCCATATTTTCCTTTATGGTGGCTAAGCATTTTTAGCATTTTGTTGCTTCCTCTAAAGTCTTAATGGCTTACGGCTATCTTATTGTCTCCTGAAAATACTCAGAAAGACAAAGCATTTGCTCTGGAAAATAGGCTTGTTTTAATGTTCAGTGCTGTTTAGGCCCAAGCATTATGGTTTTTCTCTTTTAAAATGTTGTACTGGATTAGAAAACAAGAGAAAATGTGGAGCAGAAAGCCATCCACATACCAGCTGCACTGATAAGTAAAACAGCCTTCAACAAGGGTCTCATGAAATGCTTAAAGTTTCAGTCTGGGATTTTTTTTTATAACACTTGAAACTATTAAGTTAAATGAAATATTTGACATCACCAAACTCTTCCACCAGGTAGCTACTGTATAAATGTTCATACAGTAATTTTCTTGGGTTGAAGTAATTATGCAGCCAATACATTCTGATTCTATAGTTTCTTTTAATGCAAAACTTTGGTGATGCCCACTCTTGCCTCGCAGTTCAGAATCATTCACTACACCTGATTAGTTATATCACATTGCTTTTCATACTACTGTCATCTTATGCTTTAAGTTTGCTTTAATGTCTGTTAATTATCAGAGCGGTGAATCAATGATCGCTGTTAAAATGCTAGCATTCACTATTAAGTGACATTGCAAAGAAAATTTAAGCTTTTTTCTAGCATAAACCTTTTTTATTGCGCATATGTTTTAGACAAGTTTTGAAAGTGCATTTGTTGATAAGTCACAATTTTGACTTTAAAACATATACTTTTTTTTAACAGATTCTTAACTTCTATATTGTTTGATGCAGGAAGAAGTTTGAGGGTGTTGGGAATTGAGAAATGAAATGAAATCATTGGTTCAGTTCTCTATCTGTTATGTATAGTGCATGAAGAGATGTGATGTAAATTTGCTGCTGTGGATGTCATTTGCCATTATAGCAATCCTGACTATTCAACTGTTCTTGATATTACAGTGGACTAAAGAGGATGGACCTAGAACTTCCACCTCTGCTGTCCCTAACCTGTTTGTTCCATTGAACACTAACCCTAAAGAGGTCCAGGAAATGAGGAACAAGGTATGTATTTTCTGTCCATTTTAATTACTGTTATTATTTTGTTGAAGCTAATATTCCATAAATGATGACCGGAGTTTTTTTGTTGATGATGATATTTCCAGCATCTTCCATTATAAGAAGATAGCTTTCATTGGTAAAGCTATTGCTGAGAAGATAGCAATCATTGTTCTCTTAAATATTAGTCCTTAAGTTGGTATCTTCAGAATGAGTTAAAAAGTTTAATCCAAAGTCTGTTGTAAAATACGCTACTTGCCAAGGTGCAAAGTTAAAAGCTACAGAGCTATAGTTTTTTGGTTTGTAGATATGATCTAAGGTTCTCCAAAGTCTACCTTCAACCTACCTTTCCAGTTTTATGGTGTATTCAACAATCCAGCCAAACTAAACAACTCACTGTCATCTGAAAACATCTTTTTGCCTTCTCTTGCCTCCACACCTTTGTTTACAATGTTCCCTTTACAAGTGTATCCCTCACAATAACATCATTATAGTTCATTATCCCAAACCCCCATCATAACATCATTTGGCTAATGTCCTGAGGCACAGATTAGATATTTAGTGATTCAATGTGCATTGACTTCTCCATTTACCATTTTGTTTATAACTTTGATCCTGTGCCACTAACTGCTGTGTCCCAGGCCCCTCCCCAACCATGTTGTTTTACCAAAGATCATATTTTAATGGAACCACTTCATGGCAGGGGCTATTCTTGTACTTAGAATTTCTTCATCTCATTTCCATCTGCTAAAATTCTTCTCATCCTTGAAGATCCAACTTAAATACCATTTTCTCCATGAAACCTTCCATAATCCCATAACTGGTAGTGATTTTTCCTTCATCTAAACTCATATTGCTTTGTTATTCTTCTCTATTTTAATTTGTTTGTACTTCTGTTATTATCATAACCTGTATTTTATTCAATAGACTGTTAAATCTAGAAGGAGCCTTAGAAAATGGAAAGTTATCGCTGAAAGGGATTTGTAAAAGCTATTTTAATTTCTCATTTACAGATGAAGGGATTAAGATCTCAGAAGTTAAGATTATGCCTGTGTGCAATAGTACCCATACTAGATTATCAGTCTGCCAGCAAGGACTATATCTTACTATCTATCAATCTCTCACAGAACCCAGAATAGTACCTTACATATAAGAGCTCAATAAATGATGAATGAATGTAGATAATGCATATTGCTTTATCAACATTATTTATCAATATTTATAGCATTACAGTGATATAAGGCAGCTAGAAAATATATTCCTCATATTCCTAGTGAGTTTATCAGTGAAGATCTTTGTCAAGTCAAGAAAAAAACCCTAATTTTCCAACCATAGTTTTTACCTTATTAAGCCCAATTACATTACTTTAAAGCATCTAAATGTTTAATGTGTTATAAATCTCAGACTCTGTAACAAGAATAGGATTGAACATAGTAAAATGGTTGTTAAGGGCTCTGTAGTTTCAAAGATTCACTTCTGGCATCTATTCCATTTTCTGTGGTGTGAGGCAGAGGAGAGAAAAATGAAGCTGAAGTCAGGTAGGCTACTGATACAAAAGAATCATAAATTACGTCATTGATAAGATAAGTTTCATGCTCCCTTTTATATTTATTTGTTCTTATTCTCCCCCTCCCCCTACTTACAGATCCGAGAGCAAAATTTACAGGATATCAAAACTGCTGGCCCTCAATCACAGGTTCTTTGTGGTGTAGTAATGGACAGGAGTCTTGTACAGGTGAGAATTCAGACTATCTTCAGCATTAATGTGACGTATTTATAATCTTAATCAGTTGTAAAATTATTCTGTGGCAGAGAATAACTTTACCAGGTAAGTATTAGAAGCAACCCTGTTGTTTTTATTAAAGTGTGTTGAGAAAAAAATTCTAGACTTTTTTAGTTGGATAGATCAAGCATGATAGTGGAGTATGCTCTGTGAATTGTTGCTCAGTATGATGCATGCAGTATGGAAAAGCAGTTTTGTAGGCTGTCATCTGTAGAAACCTAGATGGATTTATGTCATCTAGATTTTTCATATGTTTTAACCATGTAATGTATAAAATGCCATGAGTGATGTTCTCTGTTGCCTGTCTGAAATTTAATGCTGCTAAAAAGTAGTTGCTTTAAGAAGGGATGGTAGTTTAAATATATGCTGCTGATGTAAATGCACTTCTGAAGTTTCTAATATTGATAGTTAGTACTACCAATACTTAAAAATACTTGCAAAAGTATCAATCAGTATGCCTAGATATGCAACCCAATGCATTTAAAATGTGACATTTTAGGATTTGTGAGATTGATAGGTGTGGGGGGGAGTGGGGACTTTTTTGTGTGTTTTATAAAAAGGTTTGATTAGTTGTGTAAACCATAGTTTGATGCTTTTTCTGCATGTAATGTACTTCCCGTAGCTATTTAGAACTATATTGACTATGTTTCTGCCGCATGCTTGTAATTGGCACCATAATGTGCTCTTGATTGAAATTATGAAGATCAGGCTTGGTGTGCTCTGTTTACTCAGTTTACTGTTTCAGGATGCTCCCCTCTCTGACTGTACGGAAACTATTGAAGGGCTCGATCTCACAGAGCAGGCCTTTAGTCCCGCTAAATCTCTCTCTGTTAGAAAGGTACTTACTGCCCTGTCATTAACTACCTACAAGTATACTGTTGTTGTTCAACCCTCCCTCTCCCTAATTTGTTTTCTCTATTAGCTGTTGTTTTAGCTAAAAAAAGACATAATTGGTCTTAGGTGTACTTATTAAATGATACATAAGTTTCTGTTCTGTGTACTCTATACCTTGATTAAAGCATTGACATGAGTTATTTTTATATTTTCCAATGTTTTTTCTTGAGGTGAAATGTGATAAGAATTTTTGTATGACATTCCTACAGTTCTGCATGTAATTTGGCTATTGCATGGTAGGGGGGTTGGGAGTGTGATCTTGGGGGTATTTAACAGTGTTTACTTTAAAGGGAATCCGTTATAGACTATCTCAGTCTCAGACTTAAATTACTTCTCCAAAATAGTGTCAGACTCCTAAGGAGACATCAACAGAAAATAAGTAACAGATTCCTCTCCTCCAGTAAATGACTGCTTTCTATAAATTAGCAGTTTTGGCTATATATAACTAGTTAAAAGCAATCATAAGTAGAGAGGTCCTATAAAACCCCAGTCAGCTTGGAGTGATGGCTGTTCTTCATTGTGGACTTTTACCCTTTTTTTTGCCCAAAAGTGTACAACATTCAAAAAGTTCATCAAATTGGAAGAAGTGAAAAGTGTGTCAGCAGAATACACAGTATACCCTAGTGATAATAAAGTAAGCCTTTGAAAGAAATGCTAGATGAGATACTAAATATGTTCCTTGAAATTTAGAATTTTAGTTTCTCACTTAATAGTGATTTTAACAACAACAAAAAAAAGATGTGCATTATTTTCTGCAGTACAGAACCTTTTAGTGTATAACATGGATTTAGCCCAAAAAACGAGAATTTTTGCTGGTGCCTACTACTGGCTTTGGAGTTGGAAATGTTATATTTGTCCTTATTTTTAGTTATCTTGGAATGTTAAACCATTGAGTTTCTAGAATATTCTGACTTGAAAGATATTTAATAGATTAAATGTCTAAATAGGTGTGTGACAATGATTGATCATTTCTGTATGGAAACTCAACTTGTACAATGATGGAGTTTGCAGAGGTACTTAGATGATATTTACTTAGGCTTTTAATATACTTCATACCACTTCTTTTAGAGGAACGTCTCTTTTTTCTTAATGTTAAAGAGCAGAAAATACTTATCTTCACTTGCTTGTCATATACTTACTATCTTACTGGCTACTTTTTTTGGTTACATTTTAAATGCTATTCATATAAATTGTTTGTCATCTACAAAGAGCTCTTTCTTAATGTCCAAATCTGTTCACTTGTAGTTGGAGAGTCCTTAGTCTCAGCCTTGTAGAATGAACTCATTGCCACACTGGGATATTTTGTTAAGGAAGCTAAAAAGTGAACTTTGAAAGAAAACATTTCTGTCCTACAAATAATCCAAAAATTATCATAGAAAAATATAATATGCCTTTGCTTTGTATGATTAATGTGCCCAGATCAAAATTAACGTGCAGAAGATGCTGCTTGCAATTTTGTGTAGTGTCTCACCTCCAAACTGATTCCATTTAGAGTGGCATTGATTTAAATGAAGTGATTTATGTATTACTGATACTAAACTACAAGTTTGCTTTTTTTTTGTAGATTTTCTTATACAGTTCTTGCTAGATGTTTCTTATAAATGATACTTTAACTTTTGCTTCTTTTGATTCCCTCCCTTACCCTCCCTGTTACTGTGAACTATTTTATTTTTGTCATGAAAAGATAACTTTGCTTAAGGTGTCCTTAAATGTAACATTTAACCAAATGGCCCACTTTGCTCTAACCTGATAGTCCTAAAAGACAAATTCTGTGACTTCTTTTGGGATTCAGTATAGAGGAAGATTGACTACTTTTTTTTTTTGGAGGCAGTTGAGTTTAAGTGACTTGCCTAGGGTCACACAGCTCTTAAGTGTCTGAGGCCAGATTCAAACTCAGGTCCTCCTGACATTAGGGCCAGTATTCTATCCATTGCGCCACCTAAATGTCCCTTGACTGTCTTCTTAGTGACGTTCAGTCAGTCAACAAACATTTGTTAAGTATTTACTCTAAATATGGCAGGCATTGGGCTAAGAGCTTAGGGATACTTAGAAAAAAAGACAAAAACAGTCCCTGTCCTCAGAAAACCTATATTCTGATGGCAGAAACAAACATGAAAATGACTAGGTACATACAAGATGTATTAGAGTATATGTAATCTCAGAGGCATATTTGTTTACTCTGCCAAATGATTACTGTACATGATAAAATATGTACTGATTTTTGATTGTGGGCTTCTGAGCACCTTTGGTTCTGAGCACCTGTGAATCTAGATGCTCAGAACTTAAGCAATTGTTTGTCATTGGTCCTCTTTGCCTACTTTTATTAATGATGGCCTGTGCCTGACAAAAGAGAATACAGTCTTCTAAAAGTGTAATCTTCATCAAGAGACCTTCACAAGGAAAATTTTATAACTCATTTGTTTTTTGGGATAGGGGGTGGAAATTAATTATAAACTATCAGAATTGAAAGGGAACTCCAAAATTTCTTGTCTGGTACATATCTGAATAGAAATCTGCTCTGTGATATCCCCAACAAATGGTTTCTCATCTCTTTTTGAAGACCTCCAATGATGGACAGTTTACGAAGTAAGGCCATTATACTTTTGGACAGTTATAATTGTTGAGAAAAAAAAGATTAATCTGAATCTGCCTCTGCAACTGGACAAGTCACTTAATCTCTTTGTGCCTCAGTTTCCTCATCTGTAAATGAAGGAGTTGGATTCAATGACCTCTTAGCTCTAGTCTGTGATCCTATGATTTATGAACTTTTACTCATTGTTTCAGAAAGCAGAATTCATTTTTTACATGTCAGTCCTCCAAATGCCTAGAGACAGCTGTCTATCACTTTCCCTTATCTTTCCTTTAGCAGGCTAAATATCCCCAGTTATTTCAACTAGTCTTCCAGTGAAATAGCTTCAAGTCCCCCCATCCTCTAAGTCATCCTCAGCACATGTTTTAATTTCTCATTACCTTTTCTAAAATATGCTGGCCAGAACTTAACACAGAATTCTAGATATAGTCTCACTAAAACAAGGTACAGTGAAGATTATAAACTTTCCTGTTTTGCCACTTCTTCCCGAAGCCTGAGATATAACATTCACTCCTCTTATTATACAGTTGACTTTTTTGAACCTCTTTAGAACTTTACATTTATACCTATTAAATTTCCTCTGATTAGATTCAGCCTAGCATTCTAGCATGTTGAGTCTTTTGGGTCTCATTTCTATTCCAGAACCTTATAGCTGTCATCCTCAACTTCTGGTCATATGTAGATTTGATAAGCATGCTATCTATGCCTTCTTCTAAGTTAATAGTAAAAATACTGAACAAAATATGATCAAGGACGGTGTCCTGTGCTTAGGAGCCTTCTTGGTAGCAGTGCCTGTGTCTCATACCTGTGTGTGCACTTGTGTATGTGGGTGTGCACATGTGTGCACATATATCTGTGTAAATAAGAAATGGTTGATAAAGGCTTTGAGTTTTGTTGAGTTGAGATTTAACTTTCAGTTCAATTCAACAAGCATTGATTAAATACAGACTACGTATAAGGTGCTGGAGATACAAAGATAAAAATGAAGACATTCTTGTCCTCAAGGAGTTAACACATTTTCACACATAAATAAAAACAAGAAAATTTGACAAAGGAGAATGTAATAACTACACAAGGAATCAAGAAAGCTTCAGAGACATGACATTTCTAGAGCTAAAGTTAAATATGCTAAGATTCAGGGTGAGAAGGGACTACATTTCAGGAATGAGGGACAAGCCTGTATATAAGGATGGAAGATGAGACATCTAGTAGGTCAGTTTGGCTAAAATGTAGAAGGAAGGAATATGAAAGGTAGGTTGGGATTCAGACTGGACCATTTATTTTTTATCTTAGAGGAAATAGGGAGAGTTTTGAGCCAGAGAAACGACATGGTCTGACCCACTCATTAGCAAGATTATTTTGGCAGCTGTGAAAAGACTGAATTGAAGGGAATAGAAGTCTGGAAACTGCCACAGCTGCCAGTGATTCAGTCCCCTAATACCTGCTTGGGACCCACTGGGGCCTGGTCTGTGCTGGCATGGCTTGGGCTAGACTGTGCTCCTCTTCGGTCTGGTGCAACATACCTTTCCTGTGTACCATCCAGGTTGTCTTGAGCTGGAAATGTGTTTCACTCTGTCATTTTGTGGGTTCTGCTGCTCTAGAATTTGTTTAAAGTCATTTTTTACAGGGATGGTGTTGGGGAGAGCTCAAGCAAGTCCCTGCTTTTACTCTGGCATCTTGGCTCCATGCCCCCCACCCGTTTTTTTGTCCCTTTTTAACCAGAAAATAACTTTGGCAGAGAAAACAGAAGCAAAATAAAAGTTGATTAACTCTGCTTTCGTTCCATCATGTTTATTGTCACAAGTATTAGTTATATCCCTTATTTGATCCTTTTCCTTTAGTTAAGTGAACCCTTTTTGCTACCTTTAGTTTTCCTTGCCAACCTTAACTTTGTCTGAGTTTTAGAGCTTCTGACATTCTTATAGGACCATGTCATACCTTTGTATTCATCTTCTACTAGCTTTCCTCTCTTCCGTCTTCTCTCTCTATACTTTTAAAAAATTCTAAATTGGTTGGTGAATTCCTTAGTAGCTCTGTTTCCCTTAATTGCAGTTGTTTCTCTTTGTATCTTTTGAATTTCATCTTAAGAGTCAATAGCCAACAACAATAAGCATTTATTAAGTGCTTACTATGTGCTAGACATTGTGCCAAGCACTGGAGATACAAAGATAGACAAAAATATTCTGTGACCTCGAGAAGCTCACAATCTAATTGACGAGACAACATCCAAATAACTATATGCAGACAAGATGTATACAGGATAAATTGGGGGCTCCCAATCCTCCTGAGCTGATATCCTTTGTAGAATTTTAAGCCATAAAATCTTGTCTGCTCTTTTTCTGAAACATTTGAAA